CTGTCATCTCCCGAACCAACTTCTACCACTGTGACTTTTGGCGGTTAGCGACATCGTTGCCTATGCTCCATAACGACAACCTTTCTACTACAATGCTCACCTCCAATACTGCCACGAAGAACCTTCTGGACTATCCAGACTGGATATCACCGTTCGGATCGAAGTGAATGTTCGCGAAGAACACTTTTGCCATGGCTAAGCCGACATGCGAATAAGAACCAACATGCAGCAGCAAGTATGCGATAAGAAGAAGCGCCCAAGTTGTCCGTCAAATATTGGAGTAATGAACAACGAAATCTCCAAGTCGCTGGATCGATCGTTTAGGCGAGCGCGATCCAATTCTCTATGGTCCTCCAATCACTCTTGTGATTCATGCTTGCGTTCGTTGATCTTGAGTCGAGATTCACGGACAATGCGTGAATCGACTATCTAATTCTGGCTCTGAGTAAAAATTGTGCAAAAAATCGCCTTTTGATTTTTGAATCACGACCGAGATTCAACTCAAGCTCGAAAGATTCTGATTTCGTGTCGTGTTGGTGTCACACGTGATGAGGGAATAGGGGTATCCACCAGTGGGGATGTAGATAATCCTTCCTGGCCATTCTTCTTTCCACCTAGACGAGTACTAACACCAGTCTTGACCATTGTGATACTGATATCTTGTATATTGAGAAGGGGTTGTGGTCAACAGTAGACCGATGAGAGACGACCAAAGGAAATCTGACTTTATGACCATAGCTATGAGTACGATCGATAGTCAGCCTTGCTGTCTTGCTACTTCTCAATGGATCACGATAGTGACACTGCCGCCTCCACCATCATGACCTTAACAGATCAAACAAAGAGAAAGATTGAGGGGTTCGCTCGCCCCAAACGAGAAATGAAATAAACGCATCGACTTCGTCACACTATCTTGATGGTCTTCTTAGCGCACTTATGTGCCCTGCGGCCCACCACAACGCTTGTTGATATAGGTACAGACAAAGCGTGCTCGTTCATGACGGAAGCGGTTGAGTAGTAGCTCAGATACTTCATGCCAGACCTTACATTTATCACATTGGATCCACGACATGACGTCGTTCGACTCCTCACGAAGCCGGTAGGGTACGACA